GTTAGTGCTTTAGAATTAGCTTTTGCATTTTTAAAGTGTGTTAGTGCTTTAGAATTAGGGGACCTAAATATTAAAGTTAGTGCAACTAATTTTTAGATTAGCGCTGCCCACCACTGCTAACAACCAACTATGTAAGAATTTAAGTCAGGTCCATGTTTCTCATCATGATGCATCTCCTCTTCTTTTGTTTATATCTACTTTAAAGACAAAATGAATCATTTTTTAATGTTTCATGCCTTATTTTCATCTTCATTTTTGGAGGGACAATTAAGGTAACTGACAAACTGTCCAGTCATCTCTTAAAATACCAAATAATTTACGATTAATTATAAAGATATTTCATTAAAATGGCCCAGGAAAGAACAACATTAATATCATCCACTCATCAGTCTTTGCAGTGGTGTTACCCGTCTCCTCTGATCCTCTTCATCCAGAAGCCTCGCCTGTAGCTGCCTCACCATCACCTGCCTCTTCCACTCAGCTATAGGGTGACCCCTCTCATCGTGGGTGGGCACCAGATAGTCAATGTCCGACAGGTTGGCCTCTTCAGTGGGCAAGACCACCATCTTACTCTAGAGAGAGCCCAGAGTTATATTTAACTAAATAAAGAACATGCAATCTTCATGCATATATTTTGCTTCAGAAGACTCAGACTTTCTTGTAAACTTTTTGTAAGCTATTCACTGCATAGCTTTTCCACTTTTTTGCAGTATTAGCAAAAAGGACCACAAAAAACAAATTGATTTCCAATGAGTTAGTAGTAAAATTTGACATAACAAGACTCTGTGTGCAGTTTGTTTTTGAAAATGAAATAAGTACCACATCAAATGAGCCTGTCAACAACTATTTTACAACAATACACCATCTATAGCAATGGCACAGTTACAGTATAGCGCCTTTTTATCCATCCAGGACACTCAAAGCGCTTCACACTACAGACATTCACCCATGCACACACACATTCACACACTGATGATGGCAAACTACAATTGTAGCCACAGCTGCCCTGGGGCACACTGACAGAAGTGAGGCTGCCGTACACAGGCGCCACCGGACTCTCTGACCACCATCAGTAGGCAAGGCGGGTGAGGTGTCTTGCCCAAGGACACAACGACTGAGTCGACTGGACGGGGATCGAACAGGCAACCTTCCAGTTCCAGGACGGTTCCCCTAACCACTCTACCACAGCCGCCCACAAGATTCCCCCAATGTGGTATCTGAGATCAGTGTGGGACCACTGCAGATCACCTCTGAGCTTTCTATGAACAAATCCACATAATGAATGATTGCAATGATTGATTAGGCCTTAATGCGTTGTGACATTATTATTCATTGAAATCCATGCCAACTTGTTTAACACTGTGTTGTTAATACCCACATCGTCAAGTTTTGTTAAATAACCTTGAGCAGGTCAGACATTCTATTCTGTCCATGAGAAGAAAATACCTTGTTTGAAACATTTAATCTTGATTTGTGACCTTTACCTTGGAGCCAGGGTGATGAAAAGTTTATGCAACAATCGGTGTAGTGATGACTATTTGGCGTAGTGGTTAGGGCAGTCGTTCTCCAAAAAAATATTTGGAGGTTTGACTCCACCACTATTCAGTCACATGTCAAAGTGTCCCAGGACAAGTCTCTTCATTGCCTCTGATGTGTGTCCCATCCATCAGTGTACAAATAAAGCACTGATTAGTCTCTACAGAATTATTTTTTCTTTTTTCTATTATTATTATTATTATTTTTTTTTTTTTTATTATTATTTTTTATTCAAATTCCAAGGCATTCCCAGGCTAGCTGAGAAACACAGTCCCTCCAGCATGTCCTGGGTCTTCCTCTAGGCCTCCTCCCAGTGGGACGTGCCCGGAACACCTCACACCAAGGTGTCCAGGAGGCATCCTAACCAGATGCCTGAGCCACCTCAACTGGCTCCTCTCAATGTGGAGGAGCAGCGGCTCTACTCTGAGTCCCTCCTGGATGACTTCTTACTCCATCTCTAAGGGAGAGCCCAGACACTAGGGCTGCAATGATTAGTCAGTATAATCGACAACGTTGATTAAGAAAATAAGTCGACGCGGAATTTTAATATCGATGCATCACATTGTTTACCCACATAACTGTAAATGTTCATTTGTAACTGCAATGCATTGAAAGAACTGCTGGGGGCAGAATCGCTTCTATTGTCTGCAGCTGATTTGTTTACAAAAGAAGAAGAACGATAATAATGGTGGAGCAGAGAGACGATTGCATCAAAGAGGAAAAAAATGAGACATAAACTTTCCAAAGTGGGCTACATTTTATCACAAATCAGCCAAGGAAAGTAAAGTGCAGGCTCAGTTATTCCATGGCAGGACAGCGACAGTAAAAACATGATGACATCATGAAATGCTAACAAGCTACAACCGTCCTCTGCAGATGGTAAGTTTCATAAAGTTAGCTTGTTCGTCAGGATGATGCCTTATAAATCTTAATTTCATTGACTGATCACTTTGTGCTGAAGACATCTGTCTATAAGTTTTGTTAGTTTACCATCAGAAAACAGTGTTTGTTGGACGTAGAGCTATCAGTTGCGCCAACGCTTCATATTAAATCACTGAATACATGCTAATATATTATAAAACTCAAATATTCTGTCCTGTCTCGTCTTTTCCCGTTTTTTGATGACGTTGAAGTCTTATAATTTTAGACTTGTCACATCCAGCAAGATTTCTAACAGGATGGATTATTTTTATGCATCTCTGTCACTTTGACCAAAGTTATTCCTCTTAGTTTATTTAGGACTGCAGCAGGGCAGGTTACCAGCCCCTCTAGCTGGGAAGCAAGTATTATATATTTTCATTTTTATTATGTTTACATTAATGTAAATACATCTGAGTAAGCTATTAATTTTCAGGTTCAAATTCATGTGTTTCATTGATTATTTTATTTAGCTGGAGAACTTATGTTAAAGTAGAGACACTGGATAACATGGTGACATTCACAGGTATGATGAACAGGTGAGAAGAGACGTGTACTGGAGCTGGAACAGGACGTGAGCCCACAGGATGCTTAGATGGACGTCGTGACAAAAATAATTGTTGACTAATCGACTAATTGGAAAAATAATCGCAGATTAGTCGACCATCACAATTGTCATTAGATGAAGCCCTACCAGACACCCTGTGGAGGAAACTCATTTCAGCCACTTGTATCCTCGATCTTGATCAACAGGAGGTACAGCTTTCCAAAATTCAATGTATTTTTAAATAAATAAAAAACATTAAAAACTTTGGTTTAACTCCAGTGTCAATTCTATGGCTTCTTAATTGTATTGTGAAACTTTGTTTTAATGTGGCCCCAGTTCTATTTAGGTTTTCAATAAACTATATTTGTGTGGCTTTCACTATTCATATTCATTGTTATACAATGATCTGCTTGTACATACTGTAAGTCTGTATAATTTGTATATGTAATATAAAGCTCCAGTATCAGTACTTGGTTATTTACCATCACAATGATGCATAAATTTAATTAGTAGTTGCTAAACAACAAAGTCTCCGGCCATGACAACATTCCAAACTCCACCTTTTTCTGTAAAAATTGATGACAACACAACGAATCCTGGGATTTTGTCAGCTGCCAAGGATAGTCAGGTGAAGCCTTCATTTTCATGGTTTTGTGGGCCGCATGAGAAGGAGCCCACAAAATGGGCCAGCCTGTGGTGTGGTGCAATGACATTACTGGCCTACAAATGTGCACTATGGAGGACAGAGGCCCTGAACTGAGACACAGCAGTAGTAGAGTGCTGAGTGAATGAATAAATGAGGGCACAGATGGTAGTGTAAAGCACTTTCTGGTTGGATAGAAACATGCTATATATAAGTACAGTCCATGTGTTTCAATTTTCATCAGAAGTTATGGCCCAGACAAGAGAAAGTTTACAGATGTGTGGACAGATGAAGACTACTGTATATGATATGTCCATCGTTTGGGACTCGGCAACACTCTCAGTCCTGGAAGATCCTCAGACGTTCCCAGGCCACACAGAGTAGAAAATCCCTTCAGCAAAATCTGAGTCTGCCCTGAGGTCTCCTTCCAGTGATGGAAAACCTCTAAAGGGAGGTGTCCAGGAGGCTTTCTAATCAGATGTTTGAACCACCTCAGGTGATCCCTTTTGTTGAGAAGGAGCTACTCTAGATTCTTTCGGATGACGGAGCCCAGTCACCCTATGGAAGACGTTCATTTTTGCTGCTTATCCCAGATAAGAAAAAATATCATACCGATCTAAAAAATGAGTGAAAAGTAGCCAATGTTTAAAATTTTAAGCTTGACAGTCAGTCATGTTTGTGTGTCTGGACCACTTTAAAAGATTACAAGAGGCTTTGGCTCCTTTGAAAGAAAACATTATTAAAACAGGTTCAGCACTTTTGCACAGTATTGTATGCCGTAGAAAACAAACTTGACTTACTGCTTGTCCGCTGAAGACTCCTGACATTCCCGACTCGCTCAAAGATTTAATGGACTTCATGTCACCGAGCAGTTTCCTTTCAGACAGAAGTTTCTTATCAAGACATGGTTTGTCATCAGGGATCTGTGTCTCACTCCCGGCCTCCTTGGATTGATGGAAACCTTTAATAACTGAAGCACAAAATGAATGTAATATATCTTCCCTTCATTGCAGCACAGATAGATAAACACCAGCAGTGAACAGCATCAACTCTTTGTTGCTTTGTTTTTCTAAGTAACTAAACAAGATAAAGAAATGTTTCTCTCACCAGATGTCGCAATTTGAACTTGCTCTATTCTGTCGACTGCAGTCCTGCCGGACTGGGTAGGGGGTAAAGGAGGAGCAGSGGGGGCCTGAGGGTATCTGGCCTGTGGTGACTCCTCACACTCAGGTTGCTCATTTGAACAAAAAAAAAGTATCCTATTTTAAATCAGTGCTGAAAGAAGGAAATAACTTTTCAACCTAAACTTAGTATTTACCTTTAAACTATCCATGTGAGTGTTCCTGCTGTGCCTGACCCTGCAGTCCTTACTCAGGCTCCCGTAGTAGTCCTGCTTGTTGTGTCGCAACAATACTGTCGGCTTCACCTTCAGCTCCTCTTCCTCCGCTGGTGAGATGAACTCGATGGGCTTATCTGTGCACGTCTGGACACATCACACACATCCACAAGGCTTTAAAGGACAAGCATGAGTTTATTTATCTGTGATATTTTACTTAACAGCAGAAAATAAGACAATTTATTATTATTAATCTGTTCTCAAACATCCTGAAACACATTCTACAGCATGACACAGCAGCATAGATATCCTTATTTTCATCATTTTTAACAGCTTCGACCAAAATCCATCCATCCATCCATCCATCCATCCATGTTTCCATCCATGTATCCATCCATCCATCCATCCATGCATCCATCCATCCATCCATCCATCCATCCATGTTTCCATCCATGTATCCATCCATCCATGCATTCATCCATCCATGCATCC